TAAGGGTTGGTAGGGCATGTAGGAAAAAGTGGTAAGGCACACGTACAGCCATAGTACTGCCAAAAAAAAATAATTACATAAACAAAGGAGGTGTGCCTTAATGGCAATCTGTTTAACTCCCAAACCAGAACATCCTCACATTTCATGTTCTAAAATCATACCAAATTCTCTGGGGGAAAATTTCAGTGAAGTTACTAAACAGCTGATCAACCTAATTTTTGTCTATTCTCAAATATTTTAATGTAGAAAAAGTATGCTACTTTATCGCTAGCCAAAATTTCATTTACTGCTTTAAGCCAATTTATCAACTGCCAGTAGATGGTGCTCAAACCAAGTAATTATCTTACACATTCACATAGAGGGTGTTTCAGAGGAAGTGAACCTCAGTATACAACTGGCTAAACCAAAGCTGACTGGTTTACTTCTCTCCTGTCTCTATGGTGGCAGACTTTCCAGGTGGCTAAGTCTTGGGGAGTGGAAGTCATCACTTGATGAATCTCATTTTATTGGTTGTCACTTATTGGTCAAACATCTATAAACGGGCAAATCAATCCCTATGAAACTGAAGACAACTTTCAGTGTTCAAAGCCTATCTCACTGTACCAAGTTGACATTTTACTCACCTTCTAACTTATTCCCTTTCTACCAGACTAGGATGTTTATGGTCCTGGCACCTCAACAGGGTAATAATCCTTTGAACTGACCTAAAACAGTTTACCAGAGTGTTTTGAATCAGAATTTAAAACCCACTCGCCATAGATGAGCCTTATGAAATTTACATTTTATGTAATTTTGTCCATCTTCCCAGGCTGGAACCAAAACTTTCTGGACATGGTGGCTGTTTTTCAATAACTAGCTACTTAGGAGGCTTAAGAATGATCACCAACTTGTCTTCAATAGGGGTAGGGTTATTTAGCCCAAAGGTCGCCCACCATGTGCAGTAGCTTGGAGTTTACAATCCCAATTCATAATTTTGCAGTCCTGATATTACTTAGGGCCTCATATATGCCAAGCTCATGTTGTACTGCAACTAAGTAATCCCCAGCCCAAGAATATTTTAGGAGATACTCTGCCATTTTCAGGGTTACTGTTAAAAACTACATGTACTGTTAAAAATTATATGTACAGGTTCATGGCAAGTGTTTCAACTATTCAAATGCTCACATTTGCCAATTGATCAAAACTAGAAATTTAAATTAAGAGGCTTTCTTCCTACCTAACCATTTGCACTGCCAGTATTACCAATTACCCTGCCCAAGCCCGGATCACCTTATTGAAGGAAGCTCACCCTACTCAGATTTGTAACCGTGCCTCTTCAATCTGTGGGTTAGTCTCTGACCTGTTAATGTTACCCAGCCTTGCTCAGATAAAATTTCCTATTGAAAATCCAGTTCTTCATACTATTTAATAATCCTCACTTAACTACTCCAATGCTTACAAATGTAAAGCACATTTCAATAGAAAACTTAAAGATTATCGGTACATTATTTAGTATTAATGGAGCTACACAAAATTTCAGAAGTAACAGCCTTTAATATTACAGGATTTGGTCCTCTAAAGTAAATTACAAAGTTATTTTTCTACCCTAACCAAGTGTTGTAATCAATACACCCCTCCCAGATATTCACTAAGTACTTGAAGATCCCTCCCAGTTTCCCTTAACTAAATTCCCAACCAGAAAACTTAATCATACTTAAAGTTAACAGATTCTCAACACCACAAATAGGTTGAGGAACTCTTGCCTAACATTTGTATTATGTTCATGTTGACCAAAGAAGACACAGGTTTCTCATTAAACTTTGTTTTAATGGGTCTCAAAATTCTGTGACAGATTTTTGGTCAAGTTGTTTCCATTAAAAAGTACTGATTTTAAAAACTAATAACTTAAAACTGCCACACACAAAAAAACAAAATGGTCCACAAAACATTTTCCTTTCCTTCTGAAGGTTTTACGATGCATTGTTATCATTAACCAGTCTTTTACTATTAAACTTAAATGGCCAATTGAGACAAACAGTTCTGAGACCGTTCTTCCACCACTGATTAAGACTGGGGTGGCAGGTATTAGGGGTAATATTCATTTAGCCTTCTGAGCTTTCTGGGCAGACTTGGTGACCTTGCCAGCTCCAGCAGCCTTCTTGTCCACTGCTTTGATGACACCCACAGCAACCGTCTGCCTCATATCACGAACAGCAAAACGACCTATAAAAGAAATTTGGTATTACCATGAGAAACACAAAGGAGAAATTTGTGTTTTCTAATGCAATTTTTCTAATTGTACTTAGGTCTTTCTTACCCAGAGGAGGATAGTCAGAGAAGCTCTCAACACACATGGGCTTTCCTGGAACCATGTCAACGATGGCAGCATCACCAGATTTCAAGAATTTAGGGCCATCTTCCAGCTTCTTACCAGAGCGGCGATCAATCTTTTCTTTCAGCTCGGCAAACTTGCAAGCAATGTGAGCTGTGTGACAATCCAGTACAGGAGCATAGCCAGCACTGATTTGGCCTGGATGGTTCAGGATAATCACCTTGGGGAAAAGATAATGTAATTTAATGCATCTCAAAAGACTTCAGGCTCTAATCAGGATAGAAATGCCACATTTTTATCTTTGTTACCTGAGCAGTGAAACCAGCTGCTTCCATTGGTGGGTCATTTTTGCTGTCACCAGCAACATTGCCACGGCGAACATCTTTGACAGACACGTTCTTGACATTGAAGCCCACGTTGTCTCCAGGAAGAGCTTCACTCAGAGCTTCATGGTGCATTTCAACAGACTTTACTTCAGTTGTGACATTGACTGGAGCAAAGGTGACCACCATGCCAGGCTTGAGAACACCAGTCTCCACTCGGCCCACAGGGACAGTACCAATACCTAAAGTTATAGCATAGTATCATGATAACACATTCTGCCGGAAAAGGCAAAGGTATTGTGCCTATCAGAAACTAAGGCTATGACATTGTATTAATATCCAACTTACCACCAATTTTGTAGACATCCTGGAGGGGCAGACGCAAAGGCTTGTCAGTTGGACGAGTTGGTGGCAGGATGCAATCTAAAGCTTCAAGCAATGTGGTTCCACTGGCACTGCCATCTTTACGGGTGACTTTCCATCCCTTGAACCAAGGCATCTAAAGCACAAAATTGCCTATTAATGTTACTATCAACTTACCACTAAGTTTTCTTTTAAGAAATGTCTTGGAAAAAAATCACTTACATTAGCACTTGGCTCCAACATGTTGTCACCGTTCCAACCAGAAATTGGCACAAATGCTACTGTGTCAGGGTTGTAGCCAATTTTCTTAATGTAGGTGCTGACTTCCTTGACGATTTCCTCGTATCTCTTCTGACTGTAGGGTGGCTCAGTGGAATCCATTTTGTTAACACCAACGATTAGTTGTTTCACACCCAGTGTGTAGGCCAGAAGGGCATGCTCACGGGTCTGCCCATTCTTGGAGATACCAGCTTCAAATTCACCAACACCAGCAGCAACAATCAGGACAGCACAGTCAGCCTTTGGGGGGAAAAAAATGTTAACAAAAAATTTGTCCTCACAATCTAAGACCCCAGTTCTAGTTGTTTTTTAGTCATTTAGTCGTTTCATCCCACATACCTGAGATGTGCCTGTAATCATGTTTTTGATAAAGTCTCTGTGTCCTGGGGCATCAATGATAGTCACATAATACTTGCTGGTCTCAAATTTCCACAGGGAGATGTCAATGGTGATACCACGCTCACGTTCAGCTTTCAGTTTATCCAAGACCCAGGCATACTTGAAGGAGCCCTTTCCCATCTGTAATGATTTAGAAGAATTGCAGTTAGGAAAACCAACTAAGTTGAAATTCCATGCCCCCACTATTTTGCACAAATGGTTCCGTTTTCCAATCTATAGCCTTTGTTGACTCTACACTGTCAGAGCAGAGCTAAGCAATTAAGAACTTTAACAAAAAAAGAAAATTTAACTCCACTTCTAAATCACTTAGTATTTTAACATTTTCCCTTCTTGCCATTGTACTTGCCTCAGCAGCTTCCTTCTCAAATTTTTCAATGGTTCTTTTGTCGATCCCACCACATTTGTAGATCAGATGACCAGTAGTGGTAGACTTGCCCGAATCTACGTGTCCAATGACAACGATGTTGATGTGAGTCTTTTCCTTTCCCATTTTGGCTTTGATTTAGCGGTGGTTTTCACGACACCTAAAATGATATTTAAGGATTAAAAACAGCACCTTTGAACTACTGTTCGAGAAGGTTGAGGGTAACCCTTGGTCCAAACTCAAAAGGGCAAATTCCAGGGAGAATTACATCCAGTGCCAGGCTGGCCTAACTCTTCAGTCTCCACCCACCAAGTGTGAGGAAACTCCATCGCGCAGAAGTCCCCTCCCCCAGCCGAAAGAAGCTGAGTTCCAAAGGCTGGGAGACAAAATAGAGGTGCCTGGACGGCACCCGGTACGCCGCGGGGTCACAGGAAGCAGCGGCCAAGGAGGGAAAAGCCCTTTTCCTTTGTGTGGGTGACTCACCCGCCCGCTCTCCCGGGCGGCCGCGTCCTCCATTTTGAGCTCCCTGCAACAGGGCCGGAGCGGCCATCTTTCCGCGCACGCAACTGGTGCCGAGCGGGCCGGCCTCGCCACCCAGGGTGGGGCGACCTGAGCCAGAAGCCAGGCACCCGGCCCGACCGGCCCGCTCCTCCGAGCCCACGACCGCCGCCTCGCAGGGCCCCGCCTCGCCTCCCCGAGGCCGGGCTGGACATGTGCGCCCGACGGGCGGGCCCCGCCGCCGCCCCACGACCAAGAACCGGACGACGAGCCCGTGGAGACTCGAACCCACACAGGACCGGCAGGACACTCTCGGCAGACAAAAAGGCCCCAACGACTCACGTGGAAACTTAAGCCTTAAAACTGGGCAGCTGGTGGGCGCTGGGCGCTAAGGTGCGACCGCATTCGCACGCGGCGGCCCGGGCGCCCCAGCCAGGCCTCAACCCAAGCACGAGGCGAAGGGATTCTTGAAAAAAATCTCAAGACCTCGAACTCTCCCAACCCCCAAATAACCCGAAATTCGGGGTAAGAACCTCGTAAAGTGGCCCAGTAGCATGGCGGTAGAGAAAGCACGCGAGGGCCTCAACCCACTCAAGGCGGCCAGGCCCGCGGAAGCCACACCCGGAGCTCACCTGTGTTCTGGCGGCAAACCCGTTGCGAAAAAGAACGTTCAGGGCGACTACGGCACTTATATACCGTTCTCCCCCACCCTCGAGGAAAAGGGCGGAGTCAGCACACGACATCACTTTCCCAGCTTACCCCGCGCCACCTCCACTAGGCACCGGTTCAATTGCCATCCCCTCCCCCCACCACTTCTCGGGGACTGTGGGCGAGGTGCACTCAGCCCACTCACCGCACACAGCTCCCCGCGCATGCTCCTCTCGATCCCGCTGATGCTGAGAACCAGAGGCTGGGGGCGGGGACGAGGCGATCGGTCTTGCATCTAGGTTAATGGGAGTTTAACGACGGTCCCTGGGATTCCCTTAGGCAGAGGCGAATCCCCCTTTTGTATGAATTACTCTCCGCTTCAGCCGGCGGGTGGGGCAGAGAGGAGGCAGTCAGGAGGGGATGTCCAGAATCTTCCCTGTACCATTCCTGGCTTAACCTCAAAGGTCATATGGAGATTGGGCTATCCCCCATCCAGCGTACTCAGCCTCGCCTTCTTGCTCGCCTGGGACAACCCTCTAGAGCCGCTTCCCCTGCGGGTCGCTCCGGGGTCCGGGACTGGCTCCTCCTCCGCCCCCGCCTTTCGTGCTCCTACTCCCTGGAGACGAGTACGAGGTCCCTGGACCCGAGGGACTTGGGGCGGAGGGCCAGGGTTGGGGGCTGCCTTCACGGCTCAGGAATCCTGGAGGGCTTTCAGCTCGGTGGGCCTGAGCGCAATCAGTCTGCTCCCTAACTGGCTTCTTGGTTTGTGCCATTCAGAACCAGCTGTTTTTACCGAAGCCTGTAATGTACTTCACCTCCCGGGGCACTCCTGATGTCCACTATTTCAGTTTAGAGTAGACTTTAATCCTACAATTAGCTTTACTTGTAAATCTAGTCTTGTTGCAATAAGAAGATCCTAAAAGAGAGTGAGTGTGTGTGTGTGTGTGTGTGTGTGTGTGTGTACTCCCGTGGTACATTTTTTAAAGTGTACAGGTATTTGATTGCAAACATGAGAAACTTTAAAGAATCTTTCAAATTCAGTCTTTCCTCATGATCTCACGTACGTACAGACTAAGATCTACAGCATCAGCAAATTTATCCACCCAGTATTCTGTTATTAACACTTGCTGTGAAACCACTGCTTTTCAAAAATGACCTAGCCTTTATTTTCTACTTTTCTATCCTATTGATTGTATCTGCATTTTAGCATTAAATATAGTATGAGATTGGATGAGATTTGGCCCTTGGGAATGTGTGTGTGTGTGTGTGTGTATGTGTGTGCGCGCCCACATATGTGTTATTTTGGTCATTGTTTTTTTATTTAAGATCTGCCCAAGCAGGCCCCCAACTCCTGGGCTCAAGTGATCATTCTGTTTCACAGCTTCTCTAGTAGCTGGGACTAAACGTGGGCATCAGCTGTTCAGCTTTGGCATTTGCCAATGGCAAGCCCTGGGAAATATTTCTTTAAGAAAAGAAACACTTTTTGCTGCTGTTTTGTTTTCTGATGCTGGGGATTGAAAAAAGCATTTGCCTATTTGTTTTGAGGGTGGTGCTGAGGATTGAACCCAGGGCCTCCCTCACATATGCTAGGCAAGCATTCTACCGCTGAGCTAAAACAAAAAAAATTTTTTTTCTTTGTACTGGGAATTAAACCCAGAGGCACTTTACTGATGAGCTCCAACACCGGTGGGTACTTTATTTTTCAAGATGAGATCTCTCTAAATTGCTGAGGCTGGCCTCCAATTTGCCATATTCCTGCTCAAGCCTCCCTTCCAAGTCACTGGGATTACAAGGATATGCCAAAATGCCAGTCTAAAAAACGTTTATTAACTGTAGATATTTACATCTCTCAAGTTAGAATTCACTCCTCAGCTTCTTAAACCAATCTATTAATGAGTATTTGAAAAATTACTACACATCTAGTTCTAAATGAAGCACTGTGGAGTATGCACAATCCAGCTACTCTGGAGGCTGAGACTGGAAGATGGCAAATTCAAGGCCATCTTGGAGAACTTAGCAAGACCATCTCAAATGAAAAGAAAAGTGGGGGAGGGGGTGTGGTTGTAGCTCTTTGGTAGACAGCTTGCCTAACATGCACAGGCCTTGGGTTCAGTCCCTAGTACCACAAAAATAAATAAACAAACAAATAAAACAACTGGGAAGCAATTAAAGGTAAACTTATATAATGATTGTTTGTCTTTTACTTCATTGTAAAACATAGTTCTAAGGACTGGGGTTATAGCTCAGTTGGTGGAGTGTTTGCCTCGCATGTGTAAGGCCCTGGTTCAATTCTTAGCACCACATATAAATAAATAAATAAAATAAAGGCCCATTGACAACTAAAAAAAAATACATATACTTTAAAAAAAAAAAGTTCTAGCTTTTAGTTACTCGTCACAATCCAACACTTTTATTTTTAAGTGAAAAAAAGTCTTCTGGATTTGCCTTTCTAAATCTTGTTTTACTACTCCTTGTAGATACAACTTTCTAAAAAAAAAAAAAAAGATTTCTTTATTCCTTCATTAAGAGTTTTCTAGTTGTCTCATTTTCAGCTTTGATAATTTTAATCAAAAAATCTAGAACACGGGCTGGGGATGTGGCTCAAGCGGTAGTACGCTCGCCCAACGTGCAGTGCGGCCCGGGTTCGATCCTCAGCACCACATATAAACAAAGATGTTGTGTCCACCAAATACTAAAAAATAAATATTAAAATTCTCTCTCTCTCTCCCACTTTCTCCCTCTCTCTCTTTCTTTAAAAAAAAAAAAAAAATCTAGACCAACCAAAATTTTCCTAGAAAAAAAATCTCTGTCCACAAAAGCCTTTTCTATAATGTTTTTATTACTAGCATCTCCTTTCACAAATTCTTTTGTCTCATCAAATTTTCCTAGCACTGTTAGCCAGTGATATACATGTGAAAAAAAAAATTATCTTGATATCCTACCCCTGTTTGTAACCAACAAGGTAAGAAGTGCTAATGAAAATCAATCACATACAATAGAGCAATGCAAATACCTTGCTTTCTTATTTATTAGAAACATTCATTAATACTGATGAATTAAATTAAATTAAATTAAACTTGCAATCCTCCTGTCTCAGTGCCAGCCTCAGCAACTTAGTGAGGCCCTAAGCAGTTTAGTGAAACCCTGTCCTTAAATCAAAAATAAAAAGTGTTTGGAGATGTGGCTCAGTAGTGAAACACCCCTGGGGTTAATCCCTAGTACCAAAAGAAATAAACTCATTAGAAAAAGAAATATTCATTGATGATTTTTCTCCTTGGCATTAGACTTTCACAGTCACATGTTAATAGATCACACTAATGTTAACTATACAGTTATTTCAGATTAAGATTAGAATACTACACTAGATTTATTATTTTTCATTACTAATTTACAATGTATACCTCACATGGTTTTGGTTTATATGTTGTTAGAGATAATACTAAGGCACATATTTTAGCAGGAATGGTGAAATTTATTTTATTTATTTATTTACTGAACCAAGAATTGAACCCAGGGACACTTAACCATTGAGCACATCCTCAATACTTTTTAGGTGGACACAATATCTTTATTTTACATTTATGTGGTGCTGAGGATTGAACCCAGTGCCTTATGCATGCTAGGCAAGCACTCTACCACTGAGCCACGACCCAGCCTGAGTACTTTTTATTTTTGATTTTTGAGTTGCTTAGGGCCTCTCCAAGTTGCTGAGACTGGCTTTCCACTTATAATCCTTCTGTCTCAGCCTCCCAAGCTGCTGGGATTATAGGCAAGCACCACTGTGCCTGGTACAGGAATGGTAAATTTTTGAAAATGTAAAGAAATGGTTATTTTAAAGAAAGACTGGAAGTTGAATATTTGACAGTTGGACATAGGACCCAGAAAAACCACTAACATCTAAGAAAGAAATGAAAAGTCAAAAGATATTGGAAAAAGAGAAAAGATGATAATTTCAATTTAGAAAAATAAAAGTGGGAAAAGTGATCTCTGAACTTGCACAATTCATTGCAAATGTACTATTATATAATCCTAAAATTATAATAACTGCAGATGTGGGCTTTCACTTGAATTATTCTGTTTGAAAATATGGATCTACTATAGTTTAAACTGATATGTATATTCGGTGCTTTTTGGAATATTTTTTTGGGGAAGGGGTAACTGGGGATTTAACCCAGGGGCAATTTACCACTGAGCTACATCCCCCAGCCCTTTTTATTTTTTATTTTGAAACAGAGTCTAACTTAGTTGCTTAGGGCCTGGCTAAATTGCTGAGGCATTTTGATCCTCCTGCTTCAGCCTCCCTAGCAGCTGGGATTACAGGGGCATGTTGGAATTCTTTAAGAGATGACTGCCAACAGTTTTCACAATTTATACAAACTACAGCTCCTGATCTGGGGATGTAGCTTAATACTTGCCTAGCTTGCCTTAACATGCCTAGCATGTGTGAAACCCTGGGTCAATCCCCAATCCTGCAAAAACAAAGAAAAATAAAACAAAGAACTAAAGCTCTGGATTCAAATGCAACCCAAAGTTTTTCCTACTACTTCAACCTTACCACTTTGGGTGGTGAAAATAACCCAATAGGGTTAAGGAATTAACTCAGTTGGTAGAGTGCTTGCCTCACATGCACAAGGCCTTGGGTTCAAACCGCAACACCATATAAACACACCAAAAAAAAAAAAAAAAAAAAGAAGAAAAAATAACCCAACATTCTAAATATAATTAACGAAACGGTCCAAAAGTGTTCCTTAAACATAGATAAGGAAGTCAGATTTTCATTATTACGTACAGATTGAAAAAGGAAAAATTTTTTAAATGACGCCAAAATTCTCAAAATGTAGGTAAATTTTCTCAAGCCCCTTAACTACATACAAAAGTATAGACTTTATAAATACCTTATAATCTTTTTTAAATATCCCCTAAAGAACAATAAAATTACAAGAGTCCTTGATTATATGTAAGTAACCTACTGCGCACCACCTCTGGGGGCTCTTAATATTGACATATTGGCCAGGACTTTCCCTGGGGAAAGGAAGATCTCGATTCATATTATGCTTAAGAGCCTAACATTGACCCATCGAGGTCAGAATATCTTCGTTTGTTCTCAGGAGCGAGCTCACACTGCTACCCTCGATCGAGACCTGGGGGGATTGAGCAGGATCGGAAGGCGGGTCAATAGGACAGCGCCCTGTGGCTCCGGGGACGCGGCGGGGCTGGCGGTCCTTCTGGGCGCCAGCTACCGG